CCAAGTTCCTCGCATTCAACTTCGTTCATTCCACAACAAACTTTAGGACACTTAACACACCACCCTCCATCTCTCTCTTTGATCCGAACAATTTTGAAAGGCCAACTAATCTTTCTGCCACCTCCTTTCTCCAAACCAAACTCAACTCAAATGGGAGGCAGTAGCATCAACAACAACAACAGCTACAAATTTGAAGACACAGAGAAGAAATCAGCACCTGCAGTGGCCCAAATGATAGGCTTCAGAGCCACCCTCACTTGGGTTTTTCTCACCGTTTCTGTTCTCTGTGTTCTCTACTCTTCCAACCACCTCCTCTATGATCGTCAAGACTGTCCAACCGCTTTAGATGCCTCCACTGCACGACATCTTGAAGGCCTCTCCAATGTCACTACCTCTGATATTAAACTTGTGGAAGATAAAGAAGAAGCAGCCTCACAAGTACCTGCACTTGCACAAAGGCCTCAGGGATTCGATACAGAGCTTAAACACATTATGTTTGGGATAGCAGCTTCGTCGAATTTGTGGGAAAAGAGGAAGGAGTACATCAAAGTGTGGTGGAGGCCTAAGGAGACTCGAGGGGTTGTTTGGTTGGACAAAAGAGTAAGGACTAGAAGAAACGAGGGACTGCCCGAGATTCGGATTTCAGGGGACACAAGAGGATTTAAGTACACAAATCGCCAAGGACAGAGATCTGCATTGAGGATTTCGAGGGTGGTTTCAGAGACATTGAGGCTCGGAGTGAAGGATGTGAGGTGGTTTGTAATGGGGGATGATGACACAGTTTTCATGGTGGAAAATGTGGTGAGAATTCTCAACAAGTATGACCACACACAATTTTATTATGTAGGAAGCTCATCGGAGAGTCACATTCAGAACATATTTTTCTCATATTCAATGGCATATGGTGGAGGGGGTTTTGCTATAAGTTATCCCTTGGCAGTGGAGCTGGAAAAGATGCAGGACCGGTGCATCCAACGCTATCCGGGGTTATATGGCAGTGATGACAGAATGCAGGCTTGTATGACTGAGCTAGGCGTGCCACTTACCAAGGAAACTGGATTTCATCAGGTAAGAGTAACTATTTTTGTTTTCACCAGTTTCGCTAAAGACGCCAAAACAGATCCCAAAATTCTGGATCCCAACAGATGTGGCAATGTTTCATCTGTTCATTTATGGACATACTTTGAACTTTTATTTCTGACTTAGAAAAGAGTCACATGTCATTTGGTAGCTTTTACATTTCTCAATATGGATGAATTGTAGGAAGAAA